ACATAAAATTTTAATGTATTATATTTGTAAATTGTACTTATGTTGAAATTTAAAAAAAATATTACAATACTATTTTTGCGTTCTATGAAAAATTTTTGTTGTTCCATATAGACCAAATTTTTAATCGAGCACCCCCCACCCTCCGGTCAATGGTGTCCTGCTTTACCAATGTTAAAATCTGGTCACCTTACCTATAGGCTAGAACTGCCTGTGTGTTTCCAAGACTAATTGATTACTGGAGGAGAAAGCCTTGTCTTTCTCCCTTGGAGAGACTAGTGGTTTCAAACTGCTAACCTTGCAGTTAGCAGGCCAATGTGTAACCACTACCACACTACTCACTGCCATTGAATCAACAGTGACTCACTAGGGCGGGGTAGCCCTGTCCCATGAGTTTTTAAGACTATAATGGTTTACAAGAGTAGAAAGCCCCATCTTTCTGCCAAGGAGCTGCTGACCTTGTGGATTGTAGCCCAGCTCAAAACCACCGGGACCATCAGGACCCCTGGGGGCAGGATGGGAAGAAGGACACAGGATTGCCTAAAGAACTAGCCCAGTTCTTTTTGCCCAGGGAAATGTCCTCTCCCCAGGGTGGTATGTTAGTCACTCAGTGGGCTTCTGAGCAGTTTGAAGCCAATAGCTTCTCACCAGGAAGAAGATGGGGCTTTCTTTCTACTTCCAGAAAGAGGTAGTGTCTTGGAAAACCACAGGGAAAGTTCTACCAGGGACCGGTCTCTCCTGATGACATGTCCAAAGTACGTGAGAGGAAATCTCCCCGTCCTGGCCTTTGAGGAGAACTCTGGTTGAACTTCAATAAAGGCAGATTTGCTTATTCTAGTTGTAGTCCACAGTACTTTCACTAGTCTTCACCTGAGCTCGTTTGGGGAGCTTTGGAATGTTCCATTGTTGCCAGAGTCTTTTATTTCTTCCCTTGACTGCCCGTGGTTGATATTTAAGATAATGAACTATTGTTATGGTAAAATGTTTAACCCTTTAAAAATGTTCTTAGTTATTCGTGGAAGCAGAGTCTCTTAACCTACAAATATCAAAATTTTTCATGTATATATCAAAGAGGCTTGTTGGTGCAATGAGCTACAGGTTGGGCTGCTAACCACAAGGTCTGCAGTTTGAAACCACCAGCCTATACAAGGGAGAAAGATCAGTCTTAAAAACCCACAGTGGCAATTCTACTTTGTCCTATGAGTTTGAGCTTAGTAATATTCTCTCTGACTATAAAGGGTATGTATCCTTGCTATAAAAATCCAAACCATGCAGAAGTGTACAAAGCACAAAGTAAAAATACAGTCAGATAATTTTAATAGCTCTGAGATCTTTTTATATATGTATTGTGTACGTGTGTGAGTTTGTGTCATGTGTTTTGACTTTTCCGGGATGAGCGTTGGAAATACATGTGTTTGTTGTTGCTCTCAGGTGCCATTGAGTCGGTTCCAGCCATAGCAATCCTCTGCACTGCAGCACGAAACTCTGCCCAGTCCTGCGCCAACCTTGCCACTGTTCCCATGCTCAGGCCCTTTGTTGTAGCCCAGTGGCCACCCATCTCCTTGAGGACCTTCCTCTTTTTGCTGCTCCTCTACTCTTCCAAGCAGGCTGTCCTTCTCCAGGGACTAGTCTCTCTTGACAACCTGCGCAAAGTATGTACGATGAAGTGTCACCATCCTTGCCTCTAAGAAGCACTCTGGCTGTACTTCTTCCAAGACAGATGAGTCTGTCCTTTGAGCAGTCCAAGGTCCAGTACATTCAATATTGTTTGTCCTGTTAGCAGTCAAATGCACGGATTCTTCTGTGGTCTTCCTTCTTCAGTGCCCAACTTTCATATGTGTATTAGGTGACTGAATATACCACGACTTGGAGCAGGCACACCTTAGTAACATCCTTGCTTTTTAATACTCTAAAGAGGTCTTGTGCAATGTGTCTTTTGATCTTTCTCTTCTTCTTAAAAATCATTTTATTGGGGGCGCGTACAACTCTTATCACAATCCATCCATCCATCCATTGTGTCAAGCACATTTGTATATTTATTGCTATCATCGTCATCTTTTGATCTCTTGATGTCACGTCACCATGGTTGACTCTACTTTGAGAAATGAGCTCCTCCTCAGTCACATTTCGAGTTTCCTCTGATCCGAGGGACCCGTCCTCTGGTACCATTTCCAGCAATGTTCGGCCTCCATTCCTTAGGCTTTCAGTATCTGACAATGTTTCCAAGCTCTGCATAAGGTTTTCAGTGGCTATTTCCTCCAAAGTGGACAGCCAAGTCCTTCTTTGTCGTCTGTTCTTAGTCTGTAAGCTCTGCCGAAACCTGTTCACTCGAGTGACCCTGGTGGCTTTTGAAATACCAGTGACACAGCTTCCAGCATCACAGCAACACACAAGGGACCACCGTATGACAAACTCACAGACAAGAAGTTCACAGATACCATTAAAAAAAGCTTTATATGCCATAACACTCACTCATCTTAAGTGTACAGTTCAATGATTTTTACTGAATTTTAGAACTGCAACCATCACCAAACACATATGCTTTAAAAAATCATTTTATTGGGTGCTCTTGCAGATATTATAACAATCCATAAATCAAGTTACAGTGAACCCTCGCCACTTCGCGCTTCGACTTCCGCGGCTTCACTCTATCGCGGTTTTTGCGTAACAGCGCATGCTCTGTCATTACTGCCACTGATTGGCTCATACTGTACACGCTTGATGCCATAAATAATATAATAAATAATAAATGATAATTGTAACGTCCAAAATGTTTTACTGTATTTTCCCTTTTTCGTTTAATAAATTGGGTAATAAGAGTGTAATGGTGACTAAAGGGTGTTTTTTCATGTCCTCTATGCTCTAACTACGAAAATATTTGATTTACAAATAAGGAATCCTACTTTGAGGAATTTCATTTATCACGGTAGGGTCTAGAACCGATTAACCGCGATAAACGAGGGTTCACTGTATATCAAGCAAACTTGTACATATGTTGCCATTGCCATTTTCAAAACATTATCTTTCTGCTTGAGCCCTTGGTATCAGTTCCTCTTTTTTCCCTCCCTCCCCCACCCTCCCTCCTCATGAACCCTTAATATATTATTATTGTTTTCATATCTTATACTATCCGCTGTTAGCCTTCACCCATGTTGCTGTTATTCATCTCCCTGTGTGTTATACATCCATCTTTGCTATCGGTTCCCCCTTTCTCCCCTCCTTCCCCCAACCCTTATGGTATCGCTGCTACTCCCATTACTGCTTCTGAGGCGTTTGTGTCCTGGATTCGTGTGTTGAAAGCTCTCAGCGGTACCAATGTACATACTCTGGTCTAGCAGGATTTGTGAGGTAGAACTGGGGTCATGAAAGTGGAGGGGAGGAAGCATTAAAGAACCAGAAGGATGTTGTGTGTCTCGTCAGTGCTATACTGAACCCTAGCTGAATCGCTCCTTCCATGTGACCCTTCTGGAAGGGGATGTCCAATTGTCTACAGGTGGGCTTTGGGGTCTCCACTCTGACCCTTCTCCTTCACATAGATATAATAGTTTGTTAAGTCTTCCCTCAACACAAGAACACTTTGTTCTAAAAACCTGGCATTGTGTGATACTCACCTTCCCAACACGATCGCTGAAGACAAAATGGGTGCATAAGCAAATGTGGTGAAGAAAGCTGATGGTGCCGGCTAGGGTCTGGGGTCCTGAAGGCTTGAAGTGAAACAAGCAGCCATCTAGCGGAGAAGCAGCATGCCCACATGGAAGAAACACACCAGTCTGTGTGATCATGAGGTGTTGATGGATCAGGTATCAGAAGATCAAACACATAAGCTTTTTATATACATACAAATTTCTTTCTTTTCTTTTTATTTTTTTGCCTTCAGCCTAGTGCTGGTCTCACCATGTTCTCTGCTGACGGCCATCATTATGTCCATCTCCGCCCAGTATTTGTCTGTGGTGCAGGGCTGGATGGAGCTGGTAAGCAGGGGAGCTCTTCATGGACAGTGAGGTGAGAACAGAGCTAGCAGCCCTCCTCCTGACATTTTCTGGGGACCTTCTATTCTAGTAAGGAGTTACAGTCTCAGAAACCCACAGAAGCAGTTCTACCCTGTCCTAGCCAGAACTGAATGGATGGCAGTGAGTCTCTACCTTAGATCACTGGAGGGTCCTGGTTGCTAGTGGGTAAGTGCTGGTCTGCTAACCAAAGTGATGAATGGTTCAAATGCACCAGGGGCATCTGTGAGCGAAAGACGGGGCGACCTGTTTCTGTAACATTACAGCCTTGGAAACTCTCTGGGGTCAGTTCTCCTCAGTCCCACAGGGTTGCTGTGAGCCAGAAGGTCTCCAGGGCAGTGGGTTGGGTTGGGTTTGGGTTTTGGTATCTCAGTTTATACCAGTTCTTTTCCCTCACTTCATCTCCCAAACAAACACCCCACCCTTTCTTCTTCCCATAAAGTCCTTTCCTCCCAAAGGCAGGGCAGCACAGCGGGTAAGCGCAAAGGCCACACCTCCAGCCCCCCCTGTGTCACCTTGGGCACCTCAGGGGCGCGGTGTCATTACTCATGACCTGTGAACCCGGCAGGCATGTAGGCAGGATTGTTAAGAAGATCAAACGGGCTTACGGATGTAGAGCATTTCGAATAGCGCCTGCTATGCAGTAAATGCTGAAGACATGTTAGCATTCATTTGGATGAACCAGAAGCGGCAAATAATTCACGGGCCAGCGGCCTACCAGGGCGCCCAAGCCCAGGACCAGCGCTTCCCTGGCGGGGGCGTGGCGCCGCCGAACGAACGGAGGCTGGGAGCACATGGCCCACCCC